ACTATAGACAGTACTCACCGGACTGTACATTAGATCCCCAGAACTTACCTTCTACCAGGCAGGTGTGCCCTTTGACCAATGTGTCTCCATTTCCGCACCTCCCCACCCCTGTAAACTCCGATCTCCTGTTTCTGTGAGTTAGATTTTTTAAAATTCCTCACCATAAGCAACATAATGGAGTATTTATCTTTCACTTTTAAGTTCCCAGCAACCCCAGCAGAGTTTGGTTTGAGCCTGGACAGGAGAGTCTCCCAGGGGGTAAGGAGCCAACACAGAGAGGGAGGGTGGTGGGAATGGTTCCTTCTTCCCCATTTCTGTGGAGCCATTGGGATGATTTGCCCTGGGGTGACTATACATTTTTCACTTTCCTTCTTTTTCATTTCTCTTCCCCCTTTTCTTTTTAGTTGTTATTGTTCCTTAGAAAACAGAATAGAAAAATGTCCATGGACCCAGAGACACGGGTCCAATCTAGTCTTGGCTTTCTAACTCATGGGTTATTATAAAGCATGTATGATATTATCATTATTATTGCTACTATTCTTACTATTAGTGAGAAAAAATTAGCACTCCCAAAGAAACTATCAGTGTGACATCCACACTTATCCCTAATCCTCGCAGAGCTTAAAGTAGCAGCAATGAGGGAACATTTCTATAGAACAAGAGAACGAAATGGTCTTTCTAAAGATCAAACTTGTATTCTTTAAAAAAAAACTTGATTGTTTTTCTAATTGGAGCCTCTTATTTCCTGAGATTTAAGGGTGATATAGGTCAGGCAGCCTCAGGGGCCCTCTCTCTTTTGCAGTGTTCTGGGCTGTAGTAAATGTTAATGGCCTGGGTGTCCCACAAACTACACAATTATTGGGCACATCTGGGGGCATCCCTACTCCCTGATAGTTAAAAAAAACTTTGCACAGGTACCCATATGTTTTCTCTTTTAAAATGATTTCTGTACATTTAAAAATCAACAACTAAAATTTCCCCTCACAACACTAATTAGCAGTAGAGGATGTGGTTTCTATCATTATTATGTATGTGCTTTGGTATAACTTTGAGAAAACATTGAGGAGTCTCATTCATCCTAACCATTCAGGTGTGTATCATCAGTCACCTGTGAAGTCGGTGTTCATTGCCGAATCCATCAGCTGAATCCGTTAGCAAAAGTCTGACTTTACTTTTCAATTCAAATAACGTGTTAACACATGTCCTTGTGATATCCAGGTTATTCCTAAGGCCTAACCCTAAGGTGGGTGAATTTCTGGAAGGAGGTTTTCCAAAAATTTGTCACTTGGACAGACAGTAAGGTGCTATCTGATGAGGCCCTGCAGGAGTAAGTCAGGTGGGAACAGTCCCTGTGTTTGGCAACCCAGAGGAATTACAGCTCGGGTCAATACACACCATAACTTTACCTTTCTTTTGTAAACTGCAAGAAGCTGAATAAGGAAAGGGTGGTGGAGATCACATTTAAGAAAGAGTTTCAAAGGGAAGCGAGGCTCCGGGCATTGCATGCATCTCTCCAAATACCCTAGTCAACCTGTGCTCTGAAAGTCCCTGGGAACCCATAGGGCGCATTCTCCTTAGCAGGGAGGCAGTTATTCTGAGCAGCTGGATAAGGTCATTTGGGCTCCTAATTTGGCAGGTAGACCCTGAAGGCAGGTGCAGAGTATTACCATCCCTTTGTGGGCCATTTCTGGTTTGAGGCTGAATTCTCTCCCCCATGAGTGCATTTGTACTCCTGCAGGGCTGGCCCAGCTCAAGATCTGTTTTGTGTGAGTGGGAGAGAGTTTTCAAGACCCTAGGCCCTGACCCTGCTATGAACTTATCCAGTGTAGTTGCAGCTTGATAAAGGCCTTAAAGTACCATGTAGTGTTCAAGGTTGGTCTCATGCCGTTATCTGATGGTAATGCCAAGATTGAGCTAATTGGAGGCAAACTCAAATTGGGACCCAGGCTGTTTCAAATTTGCTCAGAAGCTTTCCTTTTCCACAAGACCTTTCAGGTTCATCTCATTGTGTTCTGTGGTGGTAATATACAAGATCCAGAAATGTTTATTCTCAGCTTATAAAAAGTACCCCAACACATCAACTCTATGTGTGAATTGTCAGCCAATATAAAGAGCAAATACCTAGAATGCTGTCTTGATTAGTGAGGATTGTTTTTGGCATGCAAATTTCAGGTCGTGTTATGAAGTCAGCATAGTTACCCAAGTCATATATATTAAGCCTTATTGCAGTTACCCAAGTAATGGTGATGTATGTTCTGGAGAAAATGCTGTAACGACAGTTCCCGGGAACAGAGGTAGAGTAGAAGAGACTGATTCCTCCTTAGAACAACTTTCGGGAGGGCTTCCTAGGAACTTGTCAGCAGTTCTACCTCCAGCTCCCAGAACTGAGTTGTACCACGTATACATGTACATACTAAAATGCACCAATAAATTATATTCCAAATGCTAACGGAATGTCATGATCATGTTACTTTAATCTTCCTTCTGAAACTTCAAGGTAGATTTCAGAAAGTAGCATTATAATTATTATAAAGCATGTATGATATTATCATTATTATTGCTACTATTCTTACTATTAGTGAGAAAAAATTAGCACTCCCAAAGAAACTATCAGTGTGACATCCACACTTATCCCTAATCCTCGCAGAGCTTAAAGTAGCAGCAATGAGGGAACATTTCTATAGAACAAGAGAACGAAATGGTCTTTCTAAAGATCAAACTTGTATTCTTTAAAAAAAAACTTGATTGTTTTTCTAATTGGAGCCTCTTATTTCCTGAGATTTAAGGGTGATATAGGTCAGGCAGCCTCAGGGGCCCTCTCTCTTTTGCAGTGTTCTGGGCTGTAGTAAATGTTAATGGCCTGGGTGTCCCACAAACTACACAATTATTGGGCACATCTGGGGGCATCCCTACTCCCTGATAGTTAAAAAAAACTTTGCACAGGTACCCATATGTTTTCTCTTTTAAAATGATTTCTGTACATTTAAAAATCAACAACTAAAATTTCCCCTCACAACACTAATTAGCAGTAGAGGATGTGGTTTCTATCATTATTATGTATGTGCTTTGGTATAACTTTGAGAAAACATTGAGGAGTCTCATTCATCCTAACCATTCAGGTGTGTATCATCAGTCACCTGTGAAGTCGGTGTTCATTGCCGAATCCATCAGCTGAATCCGTTAGCAAAAGTCTGACTTTACTTTTCAATTCAAATAACGTGTTAACACATGTCCTTGTGATATCCAGGTTATTCCTAAGGCCTAACCCTAAGGTGGGTGAATTTCTGGAAGGAGGTTTTCCAAAAATTTGTCACTTGGACAGACAGTAAGGTGCTATCTGATGAGGCCCTGCAGGAGTAAGTCAGGTGGGAACAGTCCCTGTGTTTGGCAACCCAGAGGAATTACAGCTCGGGTCAATACACACCATAACTTTACCTTTCTTTTGTAAACTGCAAGAAGCTGAATAAGGAAAGGGTGGTGGAGATCACATTTAAGAAAGAGTTTCAAAGGGAAGCGAGGCTCCGGGCATTGCATGCATCTCTCCAAATACCCTAGTCAACCTGTGCTCTGAAAGTCCCTGGGAACCCATAGGGCGCATTCTCCTTAGCAGGGAGGCAGTTATTCTGAGCAGCTGGATAAGGTCATTTGGGCTCCTAATTTGGCAGGTAGACCCTGAAGGCAGGTGCAGAGTATTACCATCCCTTTGTGGGCCATTTCTGGTTTGAGGCTGAATTCTCTCCCCCATGAGTGCATTTGTACTCCTGCAGGGCTGGCCCAGCTCAAGATCTGTTTTGTGTGAGTGGGAGAGAGTTTTCAAGACCCTAGGCCCTGACCCTGCTATGAACTTATCCAGTGTAGTTGCAGCTTGATAAAGGCCTTAAAGTACCATGTAGTGTTCAAGGTTGGTCTCATGCCGTTATCTGATGGTAATGCCAAGATTGAGCTAATTGGAAGCAAACTCAAATTGGGACCCAGGCTGTTTCAAATTTGCTCAGAAGCTTTCCTTTTCCACAAGACCTTTCAGGTTCATCTCATTGTGTTCTGTGGTGGTAATATACAAGATCCAGAAATGTTTATTCTCAGCTTATAAAAAGTACCCCAACACATCAACTCTATGTGTGAATTGTCAGCCAATATAAAGAGCAAATACCTAGAATGCTGTCTTGATTAGTGAGGATTGTTTTTGGCATGCAAATTTCAGGTCGTGTTATGAAGTCAGCATAGTTACCCAAGTCATATATATTAAGCCTTATTGCAGTTACCCAAGTAATGGTGATGTATGTTCTGGAGAAAATGCTGTAACGACAGTTCCCGGGAACAGAGGTAGAGTAGAAGAGACTGATTCCTCCTTAGAACAACTTTCGGGAGGGCTTCCTAGGAACTTGCCAGCAGTTCTACCTCCAGCTCCCAGAACTGAGTTGTACCACGTATACATGTACATACTAAAATGCACCAATAAATTATATTCCAAATGCTAACGGAATGTCATGATCATGTTACTTTAATCTTCCTTCTGAAACTTCAAGGTAGATTTCAGAAAGTAGCATTATAATTATATGTTTTTATGAGCACTCTAAAGTTGGTATAGTTTTCACTCTTGCAGATTTTAAATAAATTAATAAACCACAATTATTCTTAAAGAGCATACTCTTTTGCATTTTCCCCTTAGATTGTGATTTGTCCTTTTGAAATCATAAAAGACATAAAACTCATTCAAATAAAAGTAAGTTATTTCCATCTTTCTGTAAATGTTTATACCTATAATTTATGTTTAAGAGAATGAAAAGAAATGCCCAATTAAGCTAAAAAATATTACTCTTTCAGGAAAGACATTAATGACGTATTTGACATTATATACAACCACATAGTTACCCAGACCTATCTTTAGCAGAAAGTATATCTCTATACTTAGAAAATTAGCTCATTTAAAAACACAACTCTTTTTTGCTTAATATAATCTCACTTGTATTTAAATACATATCACTGCTGAATGGTGTTACCTTAAGATTTTAGTGACTGCGGTCTCCTTTTCTAGAAGGTTCCTTGCCCGGATGCTAAAAACAGACTTGCGAAGCTGTAAAATTGTGAGTATGACTTTAGTTTTGGAATATAAAGGCATAATATATTGACAAATCATTACCTACATTAAATAACACTATTAAAATGTTAAACATGAATTTTTTCATTAAAACATCATCATATGATTGATTCTATTATTTAATTTTATTTTCTATTTTTACTTTTATTTGTGCAGAACTACAGACAAGCTTGTGGGGCCACATGTCCCAGCTGTGGGAGTGCTGCTTTGGGTATATCACTAGCGATAATGTCGTCTTACACCTGAATGGGCCTTGCAGTTTCCAAAGAATATTACCTCAAAACAAATACCAGACTCCATTGTCTAGTACGATGTTTTCTGATCCACATTACACTGTTTCAAGTTCCTGGCTTGTGACCCAACACTAATCTGAATGATGACTTTAGGACTTGTGTTGCCTACAGGCCTGGAGACAAACAAGATGAGCTTTCAAGGTTTCTTCCTAGTTGGTGATGATAAAATTATTCCACGGAAGAAGCTAAGAGAGAAAACTGGAGGCTGACTACAACCAGAAGATACCCTCTCCAAACAGCTCTGTCCTGTTTGATAGTTGAGGAAATCAGATTGGTGACAGAGGGAGCCAGACGGGCCGGAAAAAAGCAGAGAAGGAAAACAGGAAGCTTACCCTCCTGGGAAGATTGATAATGACCAATAACCAGAGAGTGTAACTCCAGCAGTCAGATCAAAGATAACACCGGGACACTGACCTGTTCATGTCCATCAACAGATTACTGAGCACTTAATATGACTACCGAAGTACAGGGTAATAGGGATCAGCACCTTTGCTTAGCAGAGCCAAAAAGCCTAGTTACCAAAGCAATATTTTATCAACATCACATGAGATGATTAGTAAAATGTGCAAGGATGTGGGGTGGGGGAGAAATAGGTGTGTCTGAAGTAGTGAGCAAAGACTTAATCAAAGAAGTGGAAGCCGTATTGGGCCTGGAAGGAGAGTTAAGATTTCTACAGGTGGAGGGAGTGGGTGCCGGCTGAGGTTAAACCAGCGTGCACAGGGCAAATTATTTCAGTGCAGACTATCCATTCAAGTGCTGAGCTCCATGGGTCTTTAAGCAAGGCAAACGGAGGAAACACTATAAGGCATGCTGTGTTTCAAACAAGGCTGAGGGAAGAAAAAGAATCAGGAGACAGAACCACTTTGTATTCAGTAAAAAGAGACCATCCAGTTTCTCCTAAACCAGAGTCTGGTAACTTGATGTGCAAAGTCACAGAGCGCCAATCACCAAAGAAGCCTATAAATACTGAAATGCCAACCAATATGTTCATTTGGTTACAGCTGGAGAAGAACTGGGGTCACAAACTGTTTTCTTTTGGGCCACAACTGGCAACCCAGATAACATCATAAGTAGTGATACAATTTCCATATTTCACAGCAGATCTGTAATAAAGGAAAAGATCGTTGAACATACTGGCAATTTCCCTCACCTGAGAAAAGGTGGCGCACTCATTGTTTCTCAATAACAAAAAACTGAATTGGTTTTATTATTCACTAGAACTCTTATGAGTATAAATTAATGTGTAGACAAGGAGACAAGAGTGGATGTCATTTTTTTTTCAGAAATTACACTTTCAGGGTGGCACACACAAGGCTGTTTATCATGATGTATCATGAAACCTTCTTAAATCATTTCCCCTCCCCACCTTAAGGTGACGTCGACATTGACTGGAGACAATGTTAGTGGGGGTGCGTCTCCTAACAAGTGTTGCTCAGACTCACTTTTGGAGACAGAAGACCCAGCTAATATGGTGCTTTTGCCCTTCTGATGCCTAAGCACACACACAGTCACTTGAGCATCCCAAGACAGCAGGTGTTTTGAGGCCCGCAGGCCCGTGACTCTTGTTTTATCTTCAAAGGACAGTGACATGCCTCAGTTGTCTTTCCCGTAGTGTTAGGGGATGTAAGATAATTCAATCACCTATCCATGGCTCTGCAATTGAGCAGCTGGTGCTAGAAGCAGTGTTAATGTTTGGAAAAACCTTTGCAGAAATTGGGGATCTTTTTATGATAGTGTTTCCAAAATTATTTCTGAACTTCCTAAGTTCACTAAAGGGCTACAGAATTTCCTTTGTCCTAAACTTGAACTGATTAAGACAAAATACTCTATACCTGAGTACTTGAGAACTATTTTATAACTCACAGCAGAAATAGCTATCTATATCTAAATCTGTATAATCTGTGTATCTGCATATATTTACAAGCATAGATGAATATTTAGATAGTTATATATTTATATATATTAGTCCTTTATTCTAAGAAGGCCTGTGGTGAGGTATGCTTCCTAGTTATCCTTTCAGTTTTTCTTATTTCTGTCGTAAAGCTTTGCATATTTCTTTTACCAAAGGACTTTTTCGGACTGTTGTTCCCAAGTACTCAGAGCTGCACTGCTCTGCAGTGCCCTCTTCTGGCTCCAAAAATACTGAGAGTTACCTGAAATAATTATTGCAATACTTAAGACAAACAGGGATCTATTCGTGAATAATTTTAGATCTGAAATTTTAAATTACAGCTATGAAAAGTGTCGGTAATTGTTCACTCTAGATATAAACATTCAGAGGAGTAAGACTTAAAAGGAAGGGTATGGGCGACGTTTACACAAGAGTTTGCATTGGAAAAACTAAAAGATTTGTTCAAAAGGCATCTTTCATTGGAGGTTTTTGTTTGTAAACCTGGTACATTCAGCCCCAGAAGATAACCATTCTTGAACTGAACTATCAAAAATAAATTTAAATTTTTAGACAAAACAAGTTTTTTTGTCTTAAAAATTTTAATTGAAAAGATGTTTCTAGAATTGCACACTTTAACATGAAATTCAAGAGCCTGGAAGTTGAAATCAATTTGCATAGCGCTCTTTGTGGTTGCATAATTTTGAACTGAAAGTCACAGCAATGGAAGGCTCTAGCTGATTTCTTGGCAATGTCTTTTAGGTCTTTTAATCTACAGATTCTCCTTTTTCCCCTTAAAATAAAAAATCATGGGCCATCTGACCTGTGGTTTCCAGGAGTCCGGGTTTGCTAAGTGCATATTCATGGTATAGTTCACAGGTTCCTCTGTCTTCTGCATTTTCTGCAAATTGGCAGCTGGATCCCGGGTTTCATCAGATTAGAACTTAATTCCTTTGGCAAGGCCATAGGGGGTGGAGTCTTTCATCAGAAGGCACATGATGTCTGGGGCCTCTTTTTCTGTGATGGTGGTGGTATTGATGTTTATTGCATAGATAAATGATTCACTCAGTTTGTAACATTGTCACTTCTCTTTCATTTATGCATTGGAATAGTTTTATAATGAGGCACTTTCCCTCATGTGTTATTTGGTTACTCAATAGTACAACTTATAGGAAAAAGGCAAGATAAATATTGCTTTTTTTGCCTTTACTTTTTAGTTTTTATATACTTGATTGATTTTCCATCATTCTTTCAGGGTGAGCAATTACTGCTTTAAACATGTCATTGTGACTCAAGGATTTAAACATATTTCATTGATTTTAATCCATTACATTTACTATGATCCTTACTGCGCTCATTGGGAGCATTTTCAAGTTGGCCCGTAGGTTTTCTTTTTTCACTGGGCTCCGGCAGTCACTAGCAAAGCTTCCTCGTTCTCAGGTACGACAAAATAGTCCAGGCTCATCTGTATGCTCCCTATTCCAAATCAACAATTTTTCTCAAAAGCCCCGGTTTATGTGTTAAGATATGGTGTTTCAAGAACATAATCAAGACTCCAGTGATAATTCTTGCTGCGGAGCTGGCCAGGACTTTGAGTTTATTTTGACATTTTCAGTTTAAACTCAGACCACAGAGTTTTTACTTATCTCTTCTATATGACATCTGTATCTCTTTTTCTCCACACATCGAGACCCTTGGTCGCCAAGGATGACAGAATTAGATGATCTCATAGTTACTCATTAGTTTTATTTCAGATTTCATAGACAGTAGTCTCAGAATTATAATACCTATTCTAGCATAACACAATTAATGAATATTTAAAAAATGTGTGCATATAATTTTACCATTCCTCTCTCTCATCTGTATAGTTGTACCATACTCACATTAGCAGAACAAATAAGCTATCACAAGTTTTAATCGTTATGGAGTCAGAGTTTTATACATAATTATATCTTAAATACTTACCACCAATTCTTATGTCAATGTCTTAGAGTCCCTTTTGGAGTTCATTTTAGTTGTCCAAAGCATGTTTTTTAGTAATTTCCTCAGGAAAGGCTCCCGGGAACAATATTACCTATATCTTACATTACTTACATTCTTATGTATTGATTACAATTTTCTTGTCCCTTTGAACTTGAAAGTCAGTTTTCCTGGATATAGAAAGTCTGGTTCAGGTGTTCTCTGTCTGGAAATCCTCTAATATTTCCAGCACTACTGCTGAAAAATCTGAGGAAAATCTAATGTTTTTTCCTTTATAAAGCATTTGTTCCTTCTGAGCTAGACAGCAATTATTTTAAAAAAATTTAAGTCCTGTACTTTGTCTGGAATATGTCTTGGTTTTGGTCTTTCATGGTTCATATTTTCATATATGGTGTGTGCCCTCAATAGGTAGTTTCAAATTTTTTATATTTCAGAAAAGTTTAGTACTTTTCTGAAGTTTAGTGCTCTACTGCTTTGTTTTTCTTCTTTCAGGACTCCTATAAGGTAGATGTTGCACCTTCTCGGACTTTCTCCAATTGTCCTCTCTTCATTTTCTGTTTCCTTCAAGGCATCATCTGATGTGTGTACTCAGTTTATGTTCTTTCCAGGCTAGTCTTTATGGCTTTTATTAATCATTCTTTCCTGAGTTCTTAGCGCCTTATGTATGAGCTTTTCTAATTCTTATTTACGTTACTGTTCCAATCTTATGTATCTTGTTTATCTTTTAACTCATTTTGTAAGAGGCTACAGTTTGAGCCATTAGTGGGCATATTTTTATGGCTAGCTTTCACTCTCTATAGGGACAGTATTCTGCT